CCMWTTKRWTTTTKTTTCAAAATAGYATTATAAAAAKTGTGAGAAGAGAACCCKGGGARCAAGGTTGAAACTGCATGMATYGCACCTTCCAATGTTTGAAGAAAGAAGCTTGAAAAGCTTTCWCAAAATGAGAGCAATGTGTGTACAATCATTGCATTTTTCAGTCACTGTTGTTTATTTAGAAAAGAACCACAAAAGTATTATACATTTTGGTTTTAAAAGTATTTTGTATTTTTTCTAGGTACTAAAAACATAGTTTCCAATGGCATATACCCAAATGATGGWGAAGTACTAGTCTTAGCATCCATTTTATCAAGTTCTTCTCCAAAACATTTACATTACAAGTTTGTTGACAAGTCCCAAATTCATTATGGTGACAGCATATTTTCATATATAACTATAACAAAGAAGGTTTGTCAATATGGGTTGATGGTTTAATACAATATTGAAAAAATAAAACAAAAAATACTGTCATGGGTGTCAGCACTCCTAGATGTTGTTTTTGTCTCAAGATTTTGGAGCATGTCTGCCGCAGGTCTCAATATTACAGCGTAAAAATCCCTGTTTTKTACAAAAATATGATGTTGAACTGTYTGTGGTATGCGGCTGTATTTTTGTTTGGCATTAGAAAAATATAAACAAAATGGTGGATTTATCAATGTTTATCTCAAGGTATAGAATTGCCTGGGGTTGACAGCCATATACTGTAATGAGTTGTATTATAAATAATAAATGAAGAATTGAATTATAAATTCATTTCAACATTATTTGGTTTATTGTGCAGATTCCTTTTACATATGTAGTATCTCTTTGGAAWAATAAACATTACAGGATTGTTAATCAGCAATGTTTTGTCAAGGCAAATCCAAAAAGTCATCAGCTCAAGGTAATTCTATTTATTAGATTATGTATTGCTCATTTATTACTATATTATAAAGTCTAAGTTATAACTATAAGATATTGATATTGTCAAATTTGTTTTGTATTCCTTACAGAAAATAGTCCAGTCTTTTCAYCCAATATACACCAACCTTTTTAAACATGTCGTACATTGGAAGCAATCAAAGAAAGAATCTTTAGCCATGAAAAGAGAATTATCTAATGTGGTAAGTTAAGTGCAACTATAGGTTCATAATATTAGTATGGACTAATATTCATTAATGTCTGACATGGCATAYGGTAAACATGATATTTATATGTGTAAGAAGGACATTGCATACCAAATCTGGAAATTACATGTACTTATATCTGGACAAAACACTCAATCTGGACATTTCTATATCAGGATACCTTACATCATTCATCAATAGTAAAATTCATCACTTTGTCCAGCTTGAGAGACTACTAGTCAAACAACATGGTAATCAGACACGGCTGTATTCTTAGGCAATAGATCTAAGCGCTTATTTATATAATTCCCCTCAATTAACTATGATCTTATATATTATAATTTGATTGTGTTTCAGTCCGTTGTGATGCCATCATCTTTTTACCTACTCATGTATTTATTGTTAGTGTTCATTATTGCTTTGTTCATGGTAAGGGTAGTTCAAATTCCATTAAGTTGGAGGTTGTTTTACAGGAGACAACGTAGAATTGTAAGTCTTAGGTCTTTATCATCWGCTTTCTCACTCTTTGTTATTTAATAAATATATCTAGTTGTACAAACTTACAAAATAATGGACAGATTACCATGCATGAAGAGAAGATAGTTATATTAAGAAGATCACCTTTCAAAACACCATATATATATATTTAAATCACAAAATATTTTCCATATTCCTATGATTACTTGTGATTTTATTGATTTGAGGTGAGGTTCAGTCAGTGGGTACAAAAAAGCTGAACRTCTATCGTTAGAACATAAAATATAAAGAAACTAATAATATATTATAGAAAAGGTACATAGAAGAACAATATCAACTGGTGAAAGGAATAAAGGTATAAAATGATGTATTTTCAAGAAAATATTTTATGTCAAGAATAAAACCTGAATTAAAGGTATTTGAAATAATTATTGTCATATCTATTTGTTGATTTTGGGTTACTATATTGGCTAAAGCCCCTCTGCAATGTAATATTCAAACCATAGCCTCCTTCCCCTGTGAAAATAGCTCTATGATCATTCCCTATGAAATTATTCAAGAGGCCTTGCTTTGAGATAGAAATGTATCAAAGTCCATAAGCAACATCATAACATTTACCCTGGGAACCAGAGGCTGGATTTACTCGTTCTTATAGTTTATATACGGCGCGAATCGCCGTCCTTGAGGCCGATTACGGTTCGGCCTTCGGCCTTCGGCCTATAAACTATAAGAACGAGTAAATCCAGCCTCTGGTTCCCAGGGTACATAACATTAGAGCTAGAGTAGCTTTCAAATAAGAATGTAGCACGCTAGAGATATATTTTAGTTGTCACCACACTTTGCCTCTTATGACCATTGATGATGGTAGAAGTGCACTGTGTATATTTCATGCAAACTAAGATCTGACTGGCACAGTCCATGTACAAGGTATGGGCTTTAAGACAACTGGAACCTGAAGTAATGTCTCTATAAACAAGATCTATTCATACATGAGAACAATGCAAAAACAAATATAAAGAGATATTGTATATCTAGAGATCTAAGATCTATGTTATAATATTAGAAATTCTTTAACTTGTAGAGCTTTTATCTTGTTTATTGTTTTCTTCCAATAAAGCTGATATCATGCTGTGAAACAATAGAAATTACATTACAATCAGGTTGTGTTAACATCGGTTTAAGGCAGCAACATTTAACAAGTTCMACATCCATAATYTATTTTAACACACAACAGATTGATCAGGTATATAAGCAAATTGTTACAGMTGTCTGTAYTTTTGWTTGGAGGGTGTAYCYKCCCTTCCTAKATGATTTTATACAGCCCATTTTATTTTCTTTCRAGTTCTAGAGACTCCCTTGTTGTTGGCCTTTATTCCTTACCCACATCTCCCCAGGAGTCAGTTATTAAACCCTCACCTGTACAAGTATAGGAAGAAGAAGATTAAGTGGAATGCTAATTTAACCATGGATTCCTTAAGAAATCCCTTCAATTGACTTCTGTTGTGGATTTCTGCTGGATCATACAAGCCAAGATTTCCTGCTGGTTTGTTGATAAATCTATAACATAACAGAACTCTAATTTATTCCAAATATTATTGTATCCACTTCAAAAAATGATCAAAAATATTATGTTGAAAGACTTGGCCATATTCAGCTTCTGTTTTATTTGGTTGTTGCTGTGTTGTTGTTGTTGTTGTTGTTGTTGTTGTTGCTGTTGTTTTTTTGCTTTTTGTTGTTTGCTTTTTTTTTTCTTGTCCTGATCAATTTATAGTTTTTCATTAGTATTCTGGTTATTGAAATTGCCTATTTATTGTACATATAAGATTACCTGTAAATATTCCAAACCATTAAAGGAAGGTTTATACCAAAAAATACAAATTGAAAGTGCAACAGTAGAAGAATAGTTATTAGGCCATGAGCAATAAGTTCTGGAAGTACCCACTGTCAAAAAACAACAAAACAAAATCAGTTTTAAGAAAGATATTGTTGAGTAACATTGTATTTGACAGACTTGTCAGGCTCTTTTTGGACTCATAAAACAAAATTGAAATTGTGAGAATCTACAGAGAAAKGAATAGAAAACTGAGAAAATGCAAATGAAAAGTGAACAAGAAAWGGATAAAATGGATGACTAAATATCATGTATACTTATGTACACTGATGGAGATACATAGCATTGTAATTCAAATAAATYGACTGCTTACAATGTTGAGCCGTTTGCAACATGTAGTTGCATTGATGTAATCACATTCTAAATCGGAAAGATTGATTATCTGTATGTGTGTTAAGAAAATTATTGACATCATCATCATTAATTAAGAGAACCAAGCTTCATTGTAAACTAATGTAGGACTTCTAAAAACAAGTACAAGTGTAKTACGCAGCTGTGTWYTATTTTTGAAGCTGTATTTTCTGCCTTGTCCAGCTGGTCAACACACAATACAATACCCGGGAACAATGCCAATCAAAAAMAATATTATTCAGTTGAATAGAGAACACTWGCAATTACAAATTGTCTGAGATTTGTAAGCAACAAAGGATACAAAAAACACAGTCAGAAACAGCAATGCAGCACCATCGATAAGTCCAAAAATATATAGSCCTGCARCCGACATTTTGGAACGTTTGATCAAAAACCGCGCCTCGGTATTAGACCGCTTTCATTTTCATTCCCTGGGAACTAGTTATGTGTCTTGTTATGTGTAAAATAAAAAAAATCGTTTCAATTCAATGATTTTAAACGTATCTGTAGCTTTTTGTGCAATGTTTAAAGCAAATCAGCCTAATTGTAAATATTTCAAGAAATCTTGCCTAAAACTACAAATGTTTGTTGTCATTMCCAGTCTTCTAAAATCGTCACGGTCAACCTCGTTTTGAGATTATTGGAAGAGACTGTTTTTCAGTCGACATGGCGACGACTCATRGACTAACGGTTGTTAAAAATCTCTGTTATTCGGCTCCAAGAAAACCTAAAACTAAGATTCCTGCCACTGAAAATGAGCGAGTATTACATGACCCTTCTGACGAAGATTCAGATTACAGAGAAAAGCAGTTTTCATCTCGAAGCCAAGGAACGAAAATCCATACACCAAAAGCCATGATGGAATCATTGAAAGAACTCCAAACAGTTGACGAAAAAGACTTCTACAAGCATCTTTTAGCTTTGAAGAGAGAACATAAGAAAACTCTTAAGCACGTAGAGAAAGTTTATTATAGTGAATTACAAAGACATCAAAATGGATTCGATTTAGACGACAAAACACGGATAGCTGTTGAAGATGAAAGTTTGGTGAAACGTGCAGCAAGGAAGACCATCCCTGATACTTATAATCCTTATGAAGATGGCTATGAAGAACTATTAAAAAGTGATTTATTGCCAGCTACTGATTTGGTACGAGATATGTCAGTTAACGATGAGCAAGAAAACAAAGGTAGGTTCTTTGTGGACTAGAAAAATGGGATGAGAAATATGTCACATGACTAATTTCTTCTGTTATATTAAACCACCTTCAGAATAAATTACTCTTACTAATACAAAACATCTAATAGAGCTGTAGAGGCATGCAGAGGGGACTAAATATACCTCTTGATCTTCTCTGGTTCAGTGCTGTCACAGGAGTGGATTTAGGGGAGAGGGGGAGGGGAGGTCAAGKGGCTACTTTCCAATGATGGGTATAGGGCTTCACTCCTTTGATGAATTGCTGTATCTGCCTCTGAGCRCACTTTAGAACTTCATCACAAATAGAAACAAACATAAGGCTCAGATTTTATTATAACATGGTTAATTCAATAATGGTTGACCAACTTTTATAGTAATTATTGTTAGGATCAGCAAGGCATCTGGCATGACTTTGCTGGTTATGTTGCTTGGTAAAAACTCAGCCGTTTCAAATATTGTACTACTCATGTTCCAAATAAAGATATTTTTGTTTGACTTGAAGATAGTTTGACATATCATCTGGGTCCAATGTTAACAAAATAACAATGCAAACAGACTGTTATCATACAATAATAGCACAACATGTTAGACAAGATTCATAATTCAAGATTCAATCAAAACCCAAACAGATAATTTTCTTGTATTATGTCCMTTATGCCATTTGACCATGACATTGTATTTTGACTATCCAAGATCCCATGTTAGTATTACTGATGTTTTCTAATACTTTAAACCATTAGACCCAAACTACGAACTCAGAGARAATAGAAGGCGATCTCACAGTGATCTCAGTGATGATAGCTGGTCTGAGAATGAAGAGGAAGCTCCAAGAAAACGAACTCAGAGCAGCGAAGGTCGTGTTTTTTACAAGGAAATGTTGCCTAATAGATCTACTGCTCTTGATACTGTGGAAAGCTACTGGAAGGATTTTAATGTTTATGACTATCCAAATGAAACTGGCAGTCCTCCTAAAGCAACCAAACAAACTGACAGTTGGTCACCATGTATTACTATACCTAAGCCATTCTCAATGACGATTAGAGAAGCCAAGAAATCTAAAGAGAAGAAAACACGATCCATTCGCCTGATGGAAGAAGAGTTAAAGGCAAAGAAGGAGAAAGAGGAGTCAGAACTTCAAAAGAAGTTTCGATCACAACCAATTCCAGCCACAACGTTTCTTCCCCTTTATGACGAAATCAACAGGCAAAACGAGGTTCGTCGACACCATGTCAGAGAAACCAGTAAAGCTCTTTTAAAGTCCTCAGAAAGACCTTTTAGTTTCATGGAGAGGGAAGAGCAAAAGCGCACATTAAGACGTTCAAAATCTCTAAGCAGTTTATCAGATCTCACTCCCAAGAAAGAAAGCAAAGGATTTAAAGCTAACCCATTCCCAGCGCACTTGTTTGACTTAACTCTAGCTGATAAACTKGCCGAGCAGGACGAGTATCGAGCTATTAAAGTAAGGATGAGATCACAGGAAACCCTTGCTAAATCACGACTTCCCATGAGTATGGAGGGGCGCGGTCGCCAGTACACTATTGGTAAACTTAGGAATAAAGCCATGAAAGAAAAGGAAAAGAAGGCGTTTATGACGAAAGACCATACTTTTAGACCTCAGATCAATCATGATATTCCTGAYTTTGATCAGCTCCAATATCAATTCGACAAGGAGCTGAGGACAAAGAAGAAAGAACGCGAACCAACTGTCGTGGAGCCTTTCAATCTACGAACAGCGAGCTTATCAGAAACTAGAAAGTCCCGTTCTCTTCAAACGAGATCCATTGACGGTTTGTGGAGGAACATGGGACGGTCTGGGAGCAGAGAACGTCCAGCTAGTGCCAGGTCCCTTAGCAGAGAAAGACTATCTACTTCCAGGTCCCTAAGCAGAGAAAGACCCTTTAGTGCCAGGCCTAGCAGCAGGGAACGACCAGCAAGTGCAACGTTGTCATACTCATCTGATACGCTTCCATTTGGGTATGTATAAACGAAAAAGTTTACTTAGATTATTTGCCCCAGCTTAAAGAGGATGAAACTTTCAATGAAAGTGAACAACACAAAATCCACTGAAATCCCGTGCTTTGATCAACAAAAGCAGCTAGTCGTAGGTATTATTACATTATAAGCAAACAAAAATAGATATTTTATTTGGTGAAWTAATGAGAAGATAACGAGAATACCATCTGTCCTTTTATCTATTAGTGTACGTTTCAGATGTGAGTAAAACATCCATTTGATTTGAGATATGTCAATAAACTACTAAAAATAAAAGTCTTGCTTCCTGCTAATGTTCACCTTTTTTACAGCACTACAGAGTCTACCCGATTGAGAGAAAGCAAAATTCGAAAAAGCCTCGATGAAAAGAAAACAAAACAAAAACAGGATGATAGGGAACAGCAAAGAAAACAACGAAGACTGCGAAAACTACAGCCTGAGGTTTCACGCAAAGCAATGGCTAACGATAACAGTTGGCAGCTGAAGAGGACAGCTGATGTTAAGATAAAGAGCTACAGGTAACATGCGCACCATGAAAATAAACTTAAGGAAAAAATTAGTTAGTGATTTATAAAATTGTCCGCGATAGAGTCGTGAATTTGATTAAATTGAAACCACAGCAAACGCAATCTAAATTAGTGATTATGAGCAGAACATCTGATTATCGGATTGCAAGAGCGAAGCCATGACGACTAGGTCTTGCTACCCCTGTTKATACTTGTATATTTGAAGCTTCCTTCCCTTGAGAGCGCATGCGTTTACCGGCGGTAGATAAGCTTGCAGAACGTGCGTAAAATTTTAAAAAACGAATCTATGACTTTGCCATTGGTTYTGTTGGTGGTGGTGATGGTGTTGTTGTCGTCCTTGTTTCTTATCGATGTGAATCATTAACTCACAGGGAGGCAGACAAAGCAAGAAGAGAGGAATACTCACGAGAACTTGAAGATATACAAAGTCGTGTCGAGAAAAGACCGTTGCTGTTTGAACGACAATCACAGCTTAACGCTAAGCGAACTGCAGAACGGAAATATGAAGATATTTTACGCAGTGCTGGTGTGGACGAGCAGCTTGTCAGGAGCTTGGTGACTAAGGAGGGAAATATCGTAGACTTAGAATCAGACGAAGAACGTGACAGTAGCGACAGTGAGATAGATGATGTGGTAGGAGCTGCAACTCAAATGATTGAGGATGACAAAGATGAAATCATAGGTACTGCTTACTCGAAAAACATTGCTGATGATTATAATGAGGACTACAGTGACTCCGAGACATGACCATAGATATACATTAGATAGTCGTAGATRTAACATCGTGATTGCTAACCATACGATATGTAGATAGAGGACTTATGATCGTTAACCATTCCCATCGAATACTTGTGGAAACTGCAAGCTCTTCGCTCGTAACATTAAAAATTCACCATAATACGAATACTAGCAGTAGTAATATAGCACTAAGCACTAACATTATTTCCTTACAATTATAAAATAGATGTATATTATTTTTATGTGGTTTGATAATTTATGAATAAA